CTTGGAATTTGCGATTATGTGTGCAATTATTGATTTTTTTCATAATTAATTAACACAAGTGTATACTCCTATAATTTTTTTCTGTTTTTTTTTTGTATATAAAGTTTTGAACTCTTGTTGATTAATGACTCAAAAATTTGAGCTTCGATTCTTTGGCTAGATATTTTTTTTATCTTCCACGTAAAAACAATATAGATAAAAATAATTAACTGATTAATTAGTAATTATTAATAATTAATGAAGTGTCTAGACTCATTTTTTTTTTAAATTGAGATTAAACTCTGTAAAAAAATTAAGCAAATGTAGATGTTTTCTGTAACGTTTAAAATAAAAATTACACAAAGTTTTAGTGAATCAAAAAAAAAACGACGATAGGTATATACAAGTTTTTTTTTAAAAAAAAAGCTTAAAATTTTGTCAACCATAAATTAAAAAAATATTTTATAATCAATTTTAGTATCTTTTTTTAAACATCTTTCTGCATATATGTGCCTCTCGCTGACTATGTGTGGACTTTATTTTTTATTGAAAATTCTATAGAATAATTAATGAAACAAAACTTGTAATTTATGGTAATGTATGCAAATATTGTTTACTGCCATAATTAATTAATACAAATGTTTATACATATTTTTTTCCTTCTGTATAAAGTTTTAAATCATTGATCTGACGTTTATGGGACTCCCTGTATGTATAAGTATTGACTTATGACTTGCTGTAATACCAAAAACGAATACCTTATAAGATTTATTAAAAGAAAAAAACAAATATTTTCACATTTTATTAAAATAATTACCCAAAAAGCAAATTACCAAAAGACTATGCCTATTTATACATACATATAATCTTCACAAATGATCCAATTACCATTATTATATAGGTGTTTTAAATAAAAAAAATTTATTAACTGTCATTTTTTTTTTTTGGACATATAACACTTATTAGTGACGTAATTTTTCGATAGTCAAAATACAGGCTGCGCCAGAACTCGCTCCCCAGAGAAAAATCCATATAAGGTAAGATACGAGGAACATGGAAAAATGGTTAAAAAAATGTTATCTGACAAAATTTCGAAGTTATGAGAGTTTAAATTTTGCACTTTGACTCTATTTATTTCTGTTGGAAAAATAATTTTCCAAATTTTTTTGCTACAGGCTATTAGAAGAGGAATACAAGCTGTATTTTAAATTGTAACTCTGTTTTTATTGGCTTTTATTGGCAAAATTTTTGTACTTTTACTAAATAATTATAAAAAAAACATACACAAGATCATGAGTATCATTAAATAGACATAAAAAAATGTCAAATATCAAATAATAAATGTCAAAATTTTTTGACAGAGAATTTTTTAAAACATTTTTTTTCATGTTCCTGGTTGGTTATCTTACTTGAAATTTTTCTCTGTGGCGCGAGTTCTGACGCACCCTGTATATTGAAATATAAAAAAATATACAATAATTTTTTGATTACTATTTTTGGTTAAGATGGGACAATCGGTATTAAAAATTAATAGAGTAATTTATCTTTAATTAATTTGTTGTAAATTACAGTTTCCCTCTATTTTTACTATCTATAGTAATAAAAATGTTGAGAAGTCAAGACACTCCAAATTAATTAGTTAAATATGCAATAATTTTTTTTCGGTGAAATAATAATTTGTTATTAAAAGTAATTTAAAAACGATTTATTATGACTAACCCCTAATCTACATATTAGTCATTGCGCCGTTCACCCGATATTTCGTAAATAAAAGCAAATTAATCGGCGTTTCTTTGTTGGAAACATGAGTTGTAATACAGGAAGAGATAAAAACTTGTGATTTGTTGTAAATTCGGTGACAAAGTCTGCAAGATCAGACCTCAAGACCGACCAATATGCAAATCAGTGTTTATTTATATCCTCGAATATTAATTACATCCAGTTTATTTATAGAAAAGCGTAAAATTTTGCTGCACTTTGTATCAATTATTGGAATCGATTGTTCTGTTTTGAAGTTTTCTCCTTACCATCGGCGACATGGAACGTGCAATTACCATCAATTATTACTTTTTACCCCATTCACCGGTCGATATATCGAACTCATGACACACACTTGAATAAGAAAAATAAATTCGTTGAAAAGTCTACCAGTGACTTACTTCATTTTAATTATAATTTTTGATTAAAGCACAGTTTTGCGCTGAAAAATCGTTAAATGTAATATTCAAAAGATTGCCGATAAAGGCGAGAAAAATTTACATTAAGTTTAAAATTGTTTAATGTCTTCATTTGCACAAGCCGGACCTGGATTTTTACGTTATTACCAGCGTTTAACCCTGAACTGGATACCGGGTTTATATACGTGGCGTGTGGAAAATGCAATGTACAATAAAACTGTTAGGGCAGTATTATTATTCGCAAAATGAAACATTTTTATTAAAAGTTTTAATTAAAAATTTTTGGCAATTCACTAAACACCAATTAAATTAAAATTCTAAATAAAATTTCTAATTTGAATAAAATTTTTAACTACATACAGACTGTTCCTAAGATGATCACATATAAAACATGAATCGTTTTTTTAAAAACTTTCTATTTAGGTAAATGAAAAATAATTAACTTGTGCAAATACAAACAAAGAGTAATT